AAAACAAAAACAAAAAAAATCCAACCAGGAGTGGAGCTGTGGCTCAAGCAGTAGAGTGCTAGCCTGGAGCATAAAAGCTCAGACCCTAAGTTCAAGCTCCAGCACTGGCACACATAACAGAAGGATGAATATGATTAAATTACTTTATACATGTGTATGAAAACAGCATAATAAGACCTGTTAAAAAAATTTTAGGGCTGGGAAGGTGGCTCAGTGGTAGAGTGCTTGCCTCCCATGCATGGGGCCCTGGGTTCGATTCCTCAGCACCACATAAGCAGAAAAAAATCCAGAAGTGGCGCTGTGGCTCAAGTGGTAGAGCGCTAGCCTTGAGCTGAAGAGCTGAGGGACAGTGCCCAGGCCCAGAGGTCAGGCCCCACAACCGACCAAAAAAAAAAAAAAAAGAATTTCAAAGGGAAGAGGAGGGAAATAAGAAAATAGAAAGGAAGAATTTAACCAAAGTACAGTATAGGTAGTAAATCACAATCAAAGCACTTTGTGCAGTTAATAGATGATAATGATGATGATTAAAAATCCCAACTCCTTAAAGTAGTCCCCAAGGACCTGGGGGTGGGTCTCCTGCCTCCATTGCTGTCCCCATCTCTGCTCAGGCCACAACAGCCTCTTTATCATGTGGTACACATTCCCAGCTTTACCCTGTCTCTGGCCTTTGAATAAGTCCTCCTTCTCCATGCAAACTCAGTCCAGAAAGATTCCTTTCAGTCTCTTATCATTCTCTGTATTTTTTAGGTGGGGGCAGGAGGTGGGATGAGGGATGGGGGACAGTTCTGGGCTTCAAGTTAGGCCCTGGGTTATTCTTTTAGCCTTTTTGTTCACTCTACTTCTTGGGTCACAGCTCTATTTCTGGATTTTTGGTGGTTAATTGAAGCTAAATGTTTCACTCACATGGGACTTTCCTGCCTGAGCTGGCTTCAAACCTTGATCCTCATATCTCAGCTTCTTGAGTAGCTAGGCCAGTAGAGAGGCCATTCTCTTTCTTACTTAATATTATTTTCTGGGGAAAACTTTTCCTACCTCCCAACTGAAAGCAAGTCCCTTATGTACCCCCTTCGCTGATCTTACTGACATTTGTAGTGTCTTTTTAAACACTAGTGTATTTCCATTTGTTTATTTATTTATAACAGTATTGGGATTGAACTCAAGACTTCAAACTAATAGTCTTCCACTAGAGTCATGCCCCAGTTTTATCTTGTTGTTGCTGTTTTGTTGGCCGTGGGGGCTTAAACTCTGGGCCTAGGCATTATGCCTGAGCTCTTCAGCTCAAGGTGAGCACTCTACCACTTGAGCCACAGTGTCACTTCTGGTTTTCTGGTTAATTGGAGATGAGAGTCTCATGGACTTTGCTACCCGAGCTGGCTTTAAGCCATGATTCTCAGTTCTAAGCCTCCTAAGTAGCTAGGATTACAGGTGTGAGCCACTGGTACTCAGCTCTGTTGGTTTTTCATTTAGGGTTCCATGCTAACTTTGTACTGATGTCTATGGATGTTGCTTCTTCTTCTACTTCTACTTTCTAACTAGCTGGGAACAGGGGTGTGTACAACCTAGATTGTGATATGTTGTTGAATTGATTCACAAAAAGATTGTGTTGTATTTATGCTCATATGGAGGGTGTCCTTCCCACCCCTCATTTTTGATGTAATAATTTGCAATTTTATACTAGTAGTGATGTGAAATATTTTTCTTTTTCTTTTTTGCCAGTCCTGGGGCTTGAACTCAGTGCTTGGGCACTGTCTCTGAACTTCTTTTGGTCAAGACTATATGCTTTACCACTTGACCCACAGTACCAGTTACGGCTTTTTCTGTTTATGTGCTACTGAGGAATTGAACCCAGGGCTTCATGCATGCTAGGCAAGCACTCTACCTCTAAGCCCCATTCCCAGCCCTGTGAAATATTTTTTATATGCTTGATTCTTCTTTGTATTTCATCTGTAACTCTTTATTCAAACTCAGTAAGCAGTTAAAAACAAATCCCAAATACAAAAAAATGAGACTTCAAAATTTGGTCCTATTACTTTAGTGGGGAATCTTTATTTTATCTGACATTTTTTTTGAGTTGGGACTTAATTTTTGCTATTTGTTATTGTCCTTTTTTGTAATCCTTTTTTTTTACAAGTTGAAAGTCATCTTTTTTCCTATGTATTTGAGGCATTATTATTATTATTGCTATTATTATTAATTTTGAGCTAGGTGGCTTCCTGCTTGAGCACTTGCTTGGATCTTGATTCAACTATTTTAGTCTTCCCTTCATAGCTAGGATGGCAGGCATGTCCTACCATAACAAGCTTCTTTCCACTGATATGGGGTCTTGTAAACTTTTCTGCCTGGGCTGGCCTGAAACTCTCCTCCTTTCCCTCATCTTAGCCTCCCACATAGCTAGAATGACAAGGGTGAGCCATTAGTACCCTTGATTAATGATCCTCTTTATTTCAGCCTCCAAAGTAGGTAGGCATTTGGCATGAAATGCTATCTTTATCTGATTAAATTTTATTTATGCAAATATAAGACTGTAGACTTTTTTTTTTTTGAGACAGGCTCTCATTATGTAGCACAGGTTAGCTTGGATCTCACTATGGAGCCTGGGCTGGACTCTAACTTTTGGTGTGTGTATGTGTGTGTAATGTATGTATGTGTGCATGTGTGTCCTGGGGCTTGAACTCAGGGCTTAGGCATTGTTCCTGAGTTATTTTGCTCAAGGATGGAACTTTACCACTTGAGTCACAGCTTCATGTCCATCTTTCTGGTGATTAATTGGAAATCTGAGTCTTCTGAGCTTTCCTGCCTGGGTTAACTTTGGACCACAATTCTCACATCTCAGCCTCCTGAGTAGCTAGGATTACAAATGTGAGTCACTGGTGCCTGGCTAGCTTCTAACTTTTTGGTCCTTCTTCCTTTACCCCTCCTGTGCTGTGTTGCTATGCCAGACTGTTATTTATAGATTTTTTAGTTTGTTTCTGCTGATTCTTCTTGTCTGTTTCTGGCTGTACTCCACACTGTTTTAATTTTTGCAGCTCTGTACCACAGCTGGTACCTATTAGGCATTTAACAAATATAAATGTACTCTCTGGAATATTTTTTTTTCGAGTTACTTTAAAACACATTGAGATTTTTAATTTCTTTAGTTTTCAAGTTTCTTGGGGAATTACATTTTAGATATATTTTTCTTGATAACATGGCAATTAGAAAAACAATATCTAAAAGTACTTTTTTTGGGGGGGGGGTCTCCGGTTGTGGGGCCTGAACTCTGGGCCTGGGTGCCGTCCCTCAGCTCTTCAGCTCAAGGCGAGTGCTCTACCACTTGAGCCACACCGCCACTTCCGGCTTTTTTTTCTTTTTGCTTATGTGGTGCTGGGGAATTGAACCCAGGGCCTCAGGCATGCAAGGCAAGCGCACTACCACTGAGCCACCTTCCCAGCCCCTAAAAGTACTTTTTTGGGTGAATTCCTCCTATTCAGTTATTATAGGGATAGATTTAGTCTTATCATTTTTGTTTGTGACTTCACATTGCTTTAGAATACTCCACGTATTCTTTCCTTATTTCCTAAATTTGCTTTCTGATCTGTTTCTTTTCTTTTCTTTTCTTTTGCTAGTCGTAGGGCCTGAACTCTGAGCCTGGGCACTGTCCCTCAGCTCTTCAGCTAAAGGCTGGCGCCTACCACTTGAGCCACAGCACCACTTCTGGCTTTTTCTGCTTATGTGGTGCTAAGGAACCAAACCCAGGGCCTCATGCATGCCAGGCAAGTACTGTACCACTGTACTATCTTCCCAGCCCATGATCTGTTTCTTTAGTGTTTCTTCCCTCTTCAAATAATTTGAAAACTATAAGCTTTAAAATAAATAAATCCTTTAAATTAATTCTGGGCATGGTGGCACATGGTTGTAATCCCAGGATTGAGAGTTGATAGCCACCTTGGGCTACATAATGAGACAAAAAAATAGCTTTTTTTTTTGGGGGGGGGGTCTGGTCATGGGGCCTGAACTCTGGGCCTGGGCGCTGTCCCTCAGCTCTTCAGATCAAGGCTTGTGCTCTACCACTTGAGCCACAGCGCCACTTCCGGCTTTTTTCTTTTTGCTTATGTGGTGCTGAGGAATGGAACCCAGGGCCTCATGCATGCAAGGCAAGCGCTCTACCACTGAGCCACCTTCCCAGCCCCAGAGAAATGTTTAAATTAGCCATAATAGGAGTTGCAATAAATTTCAAAGAATCAGTGTCATATAGATCACATCATCTGAGCAGAGTACACTAAAATCAGACATAGATAGATATATAAGTGAGGCTGAAAAGCACCTGCCTCGGGCAATTTTGCTGACTCCAAGTGCCCCCTGATTTGTCCTACCTGTTCCTCCCTTTCAATTGCTGGACAGCTCTGAGAAACTGGAAATTCTCACTCTACACAGCAATTCAGCTTCTCCAGCCACTTCTCCCAAACCCAACTGCAAACTCTCTCAGCTGGACCCTTCCAGGTACTGAGCAGAAACAAAATAGTTTTCTTTCTTCGTTGCCAGGATTGCCCTCCTAAGACAATTTTACACTTTCACATACATCTAGTATTTATTGGCTTTCTACCCACAACTCCATGAAAAATGAGTCAGTGGTATTTGTTCTTCTGCTTTCCCTTTCTCACTCTAGTTTTGGATACATTTCATGTGTCTGCTTCTTTCTTAATTCAGCGTATACTCATTGAGCACCTATGGCATCTCAGGCCTGTTGTGTCGCTGAATATCCAGAGGCCAATGGGTTGATATGGTTCCTGCTTCCATGGAGTTTAGGCTCTATCAGGACAAGAGACACAAAAATAATAGCCCAAGCCATGTATGGTGGCTCATGCCTGTAATTCCAGCACATGGGAAGCTGAGGAAGAAGGATCATGAGTTCCAGGAAGAACAAACAAACAAAAAAACAGCTGGGCCCTAGTAGCTCATGCCTGTAATTCTAGCTACTCAGGAGGATGAGGATCTGAGGAACAAGGTTTAAAGCCAACCAGGCAGCCAAATCTGTGAGACCAAGAAATAGCACCCATTTCATAGTGTCCCATGCCAGAGCAAACTGTGGTCCCAAACCATTGCCTGGCCTCGATCTGTGGGCTACAGGCACTGAAGGGGATTGTACAGAGGAAAAAAAAAAAGAAATAGCACCCATTGGGCTGGGAAGGTGGCTCAGTGGTAGAGCTGAGGGACAGCGCCCAGGCCCAGAGTTAAGGCCCCATGACTGGACCACCCCCCCAAAAATAAGAAATAGCACCCAGGCCCCGAGTTGAAGTACCAGTACTGGCAAAACACACACACACACACACACACACACACACACACACACCAAAAAACAAACAAAAAACCCCGGCAATAACCATGCACATGAGTGTTCACTCTGTACACCTGTGTACAGTCATGAGAGGTCGTGACAATAGATTCCACTGTGACAGAAAAAAATTATTTGATAATTTTTTATTTACCAGTCCTGGGGCTTGCACTCAGTGCCTGAACACTGCCCCTGAGCTTCTGATCTCTGGGCCTGAGTGCTGTCCCTCAGCTCTTCAACTCAAGGCTAGCACTCTACCACTTGAGCCACAGTGCCACTTCCAGCTTTTTCTGCTGATGTGGTGCTGAGGAATTGAACCCAGGGCCTCATGCATGCAAGGCAAGCACTCTACCACGGAGCCACCTTCCCAGCCCCACTGAGCTTCTTTTTGCTCAAAGCTAGCGCTCTACCACTTGAGCCACAGAGCTACTTCTGGCCTTTTCTGTTTATGTGGTACTGAGGATCGAACCCAGGGTTTCATGCATGCTTGGCAAGCACTGTACCAGTAAACCACGTTCCCAGCTTTCATTTGAAGATTTTTGCTAAAGCGTGGTAAGGAAAACTTATTCAGGACGATGCTAGGGGTGCAGGGACCAGTACAATGGGATTTTTGCAGTGGGGCAGAGACTGGGCTCAACTCCAAATACTGCACGGTTGAGTGGGAATTTAGAGCCGAGGAGAAGGATGGGTAGCAGTGATGGGAACATAGAGCAGAGGTCAGAGGTAGGGAGGATTCTGGCTAAACTAACCTTACGGGATTCCTGCTGAAGTCAGTGTAGGGTAATAAGACATTACTGGGGGGACTGTTGGAGAACGAGAAACCCAAACTAATATGAAAGGTGATCAGATATGTGTGGGAGGAAGAACTTGCTAAGCTGACTTGGCTACATTCTTGTTAAAACCAGATTTTACAAGGAAGTAAACAAATGGGCCTAGCAGAAAATACAGAAGCCTCACCAAAGTTTGGTCAGGCAAAGTATGGATGGACTGCTAGAAGGAGTCAGGAATAATATCAATAGAGATGTTATCTTAGCTAAATCAGGAAGGAAGAATGCATTAGGTGTAGGTACAAAGACCCAGTAGCAGGACCAATCAAGGGAAACATAAGAGACTGAAAGGAAACCAACTTGACTAGGCTCCTGTGAGGCAGGGAAAGGCTATAGGAATAGGCCAGCACCAGCTGGACAGGACCTTGCTGGCCAGGTTAAAAATGGCTGCCTTTTTTTCAAGAGCAGTGAGAAACCTTTTTGATCTTTCTGGTGTTTTTGTTTTTGAGATTGTTAAATATAACACAAATTGACTAAGCCATGTGAATCAAATACCTCATTTAATGAGTAACTATATAAGTATCACAGATATAAGGAAAGCAAGAACATGATAATTAAATTCAACATGGGATCCTGTTATATATGTATGTTTTTTGAGCATGGATTTATTTTAATATAACTGGATTAAGGTGTGGAGAAGCAGAGAAAAAGGAAGATTTCCTGCTTCTCATGCAGGAAATGGGAATTTAAAACTCTGAGATTCTGGTATTTGTTCTTGGAACAGAAAAATAGTAATGGAAAACATGATAATGGTATTAAACCACTGTTGCCTGCCTGCCTGTCTTCCTGCCTGCCTTCCTTCCTTCCTGCCTTCCTTCCTTCTTTCCTTCCTTCCTTCCTTCCTTTCTTCCTTCCTGCCTTCCTCCCCTCCTTTCTTCCCTCCATCCCTTTCTTCTTTTCTTCCTTTCTTTCTCTTCTTTTTTTTCTTTGGTGCCAGTATTAGGGCTTGAACTCTGGGCCTGGGTGTTGTCCCTTAGCTTTTTATGCTCAAGGCTGATGCTTTGCCTCTTGAGCCATTTCTGCACTTCTGGCTTTTTGGTGGTTAATTGGAGATAGGATTTTCTCAGATTTGTCTGCCTAGGGTTATTTTAAACCTTGTCCTCAGATCTCAGCATCCTGAGTAGCTAGAATTACAGGACTAGTCATCACTACCTGGTTTGTTGATTTCTTAATTTGGTTACAAAAAGAAAAAACAAAAACATAGAAAAAGACCATACCAGTCAAATGTTAACATGACAGAAGCTGTAGGATGTGGATAGGAACTCTTTGGATTATCCTTGCACCTTCTTGTAAATCTAAAATGTCTTGAATATTTTAAGCTGACAAATACCAAAAGCATCTTTAAATCCAGAAATAATATAATTTTATTTATTTTTTTGCCTGACTTGAGGTTTGAACTCAGGGCCTGGGTGCTGTCTCTGAGCCTCTTTGTACTCAAGGCTAGTACTCTACCACTCAAGCCATGGCACCATTTCTGGTTTTCTGGTGGTTGGTTGGAGATAAGAGTCTCACAGCCTTTCCTGTCCAGACTGGCTTCAAACCATAATCCTCAAATCTCAGCTTCCTTAGTAGCTAGGATTACAGGCATGAGCCACTGGCATCTGGCAAAATAATGTAATTGTAAAAATTAACTTCCTAATGCATTTCTGTAATACTTTATCCCTACCTTTTTGTTTCATTTGATCATGTCTTCATATATCAATGGTTTTGCAATCTTTTTTTTTTAGGGACTCAAACTCAGTGCCTAATGCCTTTGTTCATTGGCTGGCACTCTACCAACTGATCCAGGCCCCCAACCTCATTAAAGAAAAGGAACAGATATTGGGCACTGGTAGCTCACACTTGTAAACTCAGCTACTCAGGTGGCTGAGGTCTGAGGTTTGTGGTTCAAAGCCAGCCTGGGCAGGAAAGTCTCATGAAACTCTTCTTTTTTTTTTTTTTTGCCGGTCATGGGGCCTGAACTCTGGGTCTAGGCGCTGTCCCTCAGCTCTTCAGCTCAAGGCTAGCGCTCTACCACTGGAGCCACAGCGCCACTTCCGGCTTTTTCTGTTATGTGGTGCTGAAGAATTGAACCCAGGGCCTCATGCTTGCAAGACATGCACTCTACCGCTGAGCTACCTTCCCAGCCCCATGAAACTCTTCTTATATCCAATTAATTACAGAAAACAAAAGCGGGAAGTAAAGCTGTGGCTCAAGTGGTGGGGATCCAGCCTTGAGTGATAAAGCTAAGTGACAGCACCTAGGCCCTTAGTCTAAGTCTTAGTACTCAAGTGTGTGGAGTATGTGCACGCGCACGTGTGTGCATGTGCGCACACACACACACATGCCTACAGACAGAAAGAACAATGTATAGGAGCATGGTAGTGTACTCTTCTTGTAATCCCAGTACTTAGAACGTGGAGGCAGAAGGGTAGCAACTACGGGTCTAGCCAGGGCTACTTATTGAGACCCTGTCTAAAAAAAAAGGAAAGTAAAAAAAAAGAAAAGAAAAAAGTAGGAGAAATAAAGAAGGGGCCTCACCATAATAGCTCATGTCTCTAATCCCAGCTACTCAGGAAACTAAGACCAGGAAGAATGCAATTTGAAGCCAGACTGGGGAAAAAGTATTTGAGAGAACCCTATCTCAACTAATAAAAGCGGGTACAGTAGCACACCTGTCATCCCAACTATGAGGGAAGCATAAATAGAATCATGGTCCAGGCCAGCTCCTGCATAAATAACTAAGGCAAAAGGACCAGGGAATGACTCAGGCAGTACAACACCTGCCTAGCAAATGCAAGGCCCTGTATTCAAAGCTTAGTATGGGAGAGATAAGGGGGAGGTGGGGGGCGGGGGAAGGGGAGAGGAGGGCAGAGGAGGAGAGGAGAGGGGAGAGAAGAGGAGAGGAGAGAAGAGGAAAGGGAAGTGAGGGGGAGGGGTGGGGAGAGGAGGGGAAGAGAAGAGAGGGAGAAAAGAGAAAAGAAACGAATGAAGGAAGAAAGAAGGGAGGTAGGAAAGAGATTTTTTTAAAGAGAAAGAAAGAAAGAAGGAAGAAAAAGAAGAAAACTAAAAGGTAGCATTTAGGGGGTCACATTTGTTCGATGTGTTAGGAATCTAGTCATGTCTCCTTAGTGTCTTCCGGTCTGTGATGAGGATCTTAACCTTGACACTTTTGAAGAGTACAAATTGGGTGTCTTGAAGAATGGATTTGCTTCCAGTTTTCTCTTGATTAGGAAGCAGCTATAGGATTTGGGAAAGCACAGAGGGGAAGTACCCTTCTCACTATGGGCATGAGGTAGCGCAACTGATGTAACTCGGGATCAATTGACTAGGGTGCCCTCTACCACACTTTGCCATTGTCAAATTACTATTTCTCATTTTCTTTCTGTTCTTTGGAATTGAATCTGAGTCTATCCCACACATGAGGTGGGAGAATTAAACCATATGTCTGGGAGGGGACAGTTTCTACATATGCCACTAAAAATTCTGTAAGGAAAAATTTATTTTCTTCCTCATTTACTGTGTTCATTCATGCATTCATATTTTTTTTGGGGGGAGGGGTTAGTCAAGGTTTTTCTGTGTAGTCCAGACAAGCCCAAACTTACTATGTAGTCTAGGCTGGTCTTGAACTCTGTGTGTGTGTGTGTGTGTGTGTGTGCTAGTACTGAGGCTTGAATTTAGGGCCTTGTACTCTCACTAAGTTTGTTTGTTTTTTTTGCCAATGGCTGCTGCTCTATTACTTGAGCCACACCTCCAGTTCAGCACTTTGTTGTTCAATTGGAAATAGAATCTCACAAACTTTTCTGTCTAGGCTGGCTTCAAATCTTGATCCTCAGGTCTCATCCTTCTGGGTAGCTAGGATTATAGGTGTGAACTACTTATGCTTGGCTGGTTTTAAACTTAGCTTCCTGAATGCTTGAGGTTACAGGACACCATGCCAGGCTCCATTCAAACATTTATTGGTATCACTATAGACTCATGGAGTTTTATAGGTTATGACCCAATAATATTGTAGTTAATTCTGATTCAGTGAGACTCAGTTCTGGCCATTGGGAGCTCTTTCTGATTGGCTCCAGTCTCTTCTCCTCTCCTCTCCTCTCCTTCCCTTCCTCCCTCCCTCCTGCCTTTCCTCCCTCTCTTCTTCCCTCCTTCCCTCCTTCCCTCCTTCCCTCCCTCCCTTCTTCTCTCCTTCCCTCCCTCTCTTTCTTTCTTTCTTTCTTTCTTTCTTTCTTTCTTTCTTTCTTTCTTTCTTTCTTTCTTTCTTTCTTTCTTTCTTTCTTTCTTTCTGTTAAAGGGCTTGAACTCAGGGCCTGGGTACTGTCCTTGAGCCATAGTGCCACTTCTAGTTTTCTGGTGGTTAATTGGAGGTAATAGTCTCACAGATTTTTCCTGCCCAGGCTGGCTCTGAACTGCAATCCTCAGATCTCAGCCACCTGAGTAGCTAGGATTATAGGTGTGAGCCACCAGAGCACTGCTTCTTGTCTTCTTTTGCTGTACTGCAATCCCTAGCCTTTTGGTTCCCATAGGATTTTCCTTGCATTCAAGTACCATTAAAAAATTATCTAGGTTGGGCTGGGAAGGTGGCTCAGTGGTAGAGCGCTTGCCTTGCATGCATGAGGCCCTGGGTTCGATTCCTCAGCACCACATAAGCAAAAAGAAAAAAAGCCGGAAGTGGCGCTGTGGCTCAAGTGGTAGAGCGCTAGCCTTGAGCTGAAGAGCTGAGGGACAGTGCCCAGGCCCAGAGTTCAGGCCCCACGACCTAGGCTCATCTTACTTGTTCTGTGCTAGAATAGCTATTCTCTAGGGCTGCTATGGGTGGAGTGGGTGGTCTTGTCTTCCAGGGGAGGGACTGTGCCTCTGGGTGGCTGAGACCTTACTAACTAGAGTTTCTGCTCTTTCCTGAGCAGCTGGCAGACCCACCCTTTCCTTCTAAGGCCAAGTGGCCAAAAGGGGAGTTCTGCTTGGCTGCACTGCCCTACAGCCACAATCCTGAGCCAGCAGGAAGTTCAAACTTGCCAGACTGCGTGGGCCAGGGCAGGAGGAAGGAGGAGGAGGAGTAGCCCATTTGAGTTCTCTTTAGCCCTTTCCTGAAACCTTGCTACTGCATGGAGGAGGATGGCAGAGGGAGGTGGGAGGGGTCACAGAGGAGAGCAGGCAGACCCAAGGAAGTTTAAGAAGTGACACACTGATCTTAGTTGAAGTTTAGTAAAGATACTTTCATTTGCAATGGCACAGCAGGGAATCTACTCTTTTTCTCCTTCTCCCTCTCCCTCTCCCTCTCCCTCTCCCTCTCTCCCTCCCTCTCTCCCTCTCTCTCTCTCTCTCTCTCTCTCTGTACGTGTGCCTATACTGGGGCTTGAATTCAGGGATCAGTGCTGTCCCTAATCCTTTTTACTCAAGACTGGTGCTCTATTATGTGAGCCACATCTTCAATTCTGGCTTTCTGGTGGTGGTTAAATGAAGAGTCTCAGCCTAGGCTGGGATTGTGACTCTCAGATCTCAGCCTCCTGAATAGCTAGTGTTACAGGCGTAAGCTACCAGTGCTTGACACAGCTACTGTTTTTGCTCAGCAGCTGTGGTAGGAGTCATCATTCCCATTTTCTAGATGAAGAAATGAGAGGTTAGAGTTGGCTTCAATGCACATCTTGGGTGGCTGCAAACCTAGGTGCCACCTATAGGGATGTTAAATCATGCAGCATAGTACCCGAGACTCCCTATCCCAGAGTTCAGAGCATAAACTTGTGGTGGTTCTCCTCTGCCAGGTCTGTGGATTTCCCACATTCAAGTTCTTGGTAGAGAACTTGGCCTGGGAAGTGGAGAGTCAAGAAGTACTGTGGACACCTAGGAAGAATAAAGGCTTCTATTCAGGTTTCCAATAGAGGAACTAAAAGTAACATAATAGCTTAACTATACTAGATTGAGGGAAGTAGGTGTGAGCTAGCTGAAATCATATCTATCAGGGCAATAGATAATGGTCAGATAAATCCAGGTAACACTAGCAAAGCATTTTATGCAGCAATGTAAACTCACCCACTAGTCCTGGAAACACAAGTGGCTGAAGGGGTATCTCGTTTGAAGTTTTACTTTCCATCATAAAAGCTTCTGACCTCCTTGATATTCTTCTATTTGTGGATTACAATTTATTTAAAATTTATATTAAGGAAGTGGAGGTGTGGCTCAAGGGCCATCCTTGACCAAAAAAGCCAAGCAAGTACAGGAGTCTGTATGTTCAAGCCCTAGTACCAACACACACATACACACACAATTATATTAGTTGGGCAAAAAAAATCTTCTGAGCTGCAATGTCATCTTCTGGAAAACAGGAAATTAAAGACCATATTCACATACAGGGTGGCTCTGAGGATACAATGAGGTAATGTGTATAAAGCACACAGTGCTGGCTGAAGTACAGCACCGTGATGATGAACCATTATCTTTATCAATAATGAACGCTTATAGCCAAGGCTGGGCACACAGTAGGCACTTAATAGGTGTGTGTAATTATTTAAAACCCTCCAGTCGTGATGCATGACCCACAGCACTGAGTGAATGCTTAAATATTGATGTAGTTACCCATTTATTTATTCATCACCCTGCCCTCCGCTGCCGGGTCCTGTCCTGAGCCTGCTCTCTGGCATCCCAGGTCCCACCCCGCGTCGGGAGGACACGACAGCAGCTCTCTGGCCTCCAGGTCCCGGATGCGGGGCTGTCACAGGCGGAGCGGGAGTCACTCTGGCTTTTCCAAGGGCATTTCCCCGGGGCGGGGCGCGGCGGGTGGGAACGTGGGAAGGCGTGCCCCGAAATGCAGGCCGGACGCTCAAGCATCACCCCACGTGCACGACCCCGGGGAGGGTGGGACTTCCCAGGAGGGACGCGCCGGGACCATTTTAGGGCGAGGGCTTTCGGAGTCAGGGCATCTCGGAAGGGAGATTTGGGATTGGCTGGAAAGGGCCGAGCGGGTATTTCATACCAGGTGGAGGGCGACGTGCCCCGGACGGGCTCGGCGCGGCAGCTTCCGAGGCCCCCAGGCCGGGGCGGGGCCAGAGCGGAAGCCCCGCCCACCCCTCTGCAGAGGCCGCGCCCCGCCCGGCTCGCTCTAGGCGGGTTTGCTGCGGCCGGGGCCGGAGCTGGGAGGCCCCCCCCCCCCCACACCCCCAGCACTGCCGCACAGCCACGCGCGCCGGGGCGCGGGCCGCGAGGCGGGGCAGGGGGGCGGGGCGCTGACGTCGCAGCGCGGCCGGCTGCCCGGGAGGCGGGGAGGCGGCGGCCGGCTCGGCCCAGGCCAGCCCGCAGCTGCGGCGGCCGGGTGTGCGGGCCGAGGCTCTGGGAGCCGGCTCCTGACCGCCTGCCGCGCCTCCCGGTTTGTCACTAGGGCCGCGCGGCAGCGCCAGGCCCGGCCAGCCCTTGCCCTCCGCCGCTTCTCCCACCATGGCCCTGGTGCGGGAAGAGGAGCGGGCGGCGGGGCCCTCTCGCTGGCTACCCACGCACGTCCAGGTGACGGTGCTGAGGGCCCGCGGGCTGCGGGGCAAGAGCTCGGGCGCGGGCAGCACCAGCGACGCGTACACGGTGATCCAGGTGGGCCGCGAGAAGTACAGCACGTCGGTGGTGGAGAAGACTCAGGGCTGCCCTGAATGGCGCGAGGAATGCTCCTTCGAGCTGCCGCCCGGCGCCCTGGACAGCCTGCTGCGGGCTCAGGAAGCCGATGCGGGCCCCGCAGCCTGGGCCCCGGCCCCCGCCAGCGCCGCATGCGAGTTGGTGCTCACCACCATGCATCGCTCGCTCATCGGCGTCGACAAGTTCCTGGGCCAGGCCACCGTGGCGCTGGACGAGGTCTTCGGCGCAGGCCGCGCCCAGCACACGCAGTGAGTGGGGGTCGCGGGGTCGCAGAAACGGTTGGAGGCCTAACCGGGCGGGGCTGGCGGGGGATCCAGGACCCAGAACCTCGGCCCGTGAGCCCCTGGCCTCGCGCTCCAGGACGCAAACCGACAGACAAGTCGTGTGCATTTTGGGGTCTTTTTCTGGACTCCCATTCAGGAGCGCTGACGGGATTGGGTGTTAGTGAGCCCTGGGACATCTTGTGGAATTTGAGTAGTGGCCCAGGAAAGTTGGGAATGGGATCCTGAGGGTGTGGGAAATTAAGAAGGGCTTCTGGGGCTGTCTTCCTTTGCTCCAAGAAGATAATAAGGATGAAAACTGCAGACAAGGCTGGGTGCCCAGTCCATAGGGTAGTGCCTCACCCTTGTGTGTGTGTGTGTGAGTGAGTGTGAATTCCCCTAACTGGCTGAGATTGCAGGGAGGCACCCCAGCAAGCTTAGAGATCCCTCAGGGCATCTGTCTCTTGTGTATTGTGGAATGGCCATCATGGTCAGAGCATGCCCCCACTCTGTGTCCAGGGTCTCTGGGCTGTCGGCCAGACAACCTCCTAAGGAAGGAGAGCCTTGGACCAGTCAAGTTGCCTGCCTATCCTTCCTGCCCTGTCTTAGGTGGAGACAGCAGCAGTGGTTAATGTGCCCAAGTAGCTCTCCAAGACACTTCCCCCACAAGGACCAGTGGGTTTCATTCATTTATTTGGGTAGCATTTGGCCTCTCTTACATTAAGATTAAGGCTTCAGACTTTGAGCATCAGAGTCTGGGTGGGATCTAGATGCCAGTCCCAGAGTTGATCACCTGCTGTGGATCTTCAAATAGGTATTTTGTGAGTGACCTGTTTGAAGGGAGCCAGATGTGTGTCCTAGTTGGTGAGAGGCCTGGGGAAGATTTGCCTGAAGGAATGACAGTCTCAGGTTCCTTAGAGGAGTGGAATAAGTCTTGAGTTTGATGCAGACCCAGATGAAAGAAGGATTTGGATAGTGTAGCGCCTGACCATGAACATTTTTCAAAGTATAACTTGGGGAAGGGCTTTCCTGGCTGGCTGGCTGGCCGCTGTGGCCTGGGGCAGGTTCAAGGCTGGGCTGTGACCTGATTTCAGGTCTCCCTCACTAGGCCTTCTCCTTCCTCATGACTTGCTCTTTGGTTGCTGGGTGTGGAATCATGTGGTATAGTTTGGCCCTTGTTTTGTTTTTTTCCTCCTGCTTTCTGTCCTCCGGTTCCTTCCTGGCTCAGGGAGCTCCAGGGGGTGGGGGTGGGGTAGAATGCTCCTCTCCCCTATATCTCTTCTTAGCCTTTTCTTTTTCAGAAGAGGTGCTTGTCCTATCATCCTAGCCTTTCTGCCTTCACCCTTACCCTCACCTACTCTGACCTGGTATATGACAAATGTGGGGTGTGTGTGTGTGTGTGTGTGTGTGTGTGTGTGTGTGTGTTAGATGAGGATCTAGAAAAAAAATCTCTAACTTGCTTGAACGAGCTCCCCCCCCACCTCCTCAGTTCTTGCCTTTGCTTTCCTCTTGGTCACAGAATCTTTCTTAGTTGAGTTGGCCTAGCCTGCAGGTCCAGGTGTGTCTGTTTTCAGTCAAGAGCAGGGTGTCTGGGAGAATTTGACTTACCACCCCTTGTTCTGAATAGGAGCCTTAATTTACTTTTAGAAGTCATCTTTTCCACAAGCATCACTCCACACCCACCTGGCTGCCTTTCTTCTGATGCATTGACCTGGGTTATTTATAGAGCCTGGAGGGGGCAGGAGTGGGTGGGGCAATTAGAGGGCAGAGGAAAAGTCTATGAAATCTGCCTGCTCCTCTATCTCAGTGGGCCTTACAGCATGCCCACTGAGACTAGGGTGAAGCCTGCTGCCCTCCTCTAGTTCTTTCTCAGGCTGTAATGGTTGCTCCTGGTGGCATTTCCCGGAGCACCCTGGCATGGGTGGCTGAGGCAGTGAGTGAGCACATTGCTGGATAGGGAAAGGGCCTCCTCCTCAGCTTTGGATAGAAGCTTGGATAGCTTTTGGTGGAAAAATGGTATTCACATATAACTTCAGGAGCCGGCTGTGGTTGTTTCAGGGAGGGCAGCTGATGGCCCTCCTGTCATCTAGAGAATTTGACTCGGGGATGACAGGCTGTGGATAAGAGGAGGCTGTGGACTAGCATCAGACAGTCCTGATGTCTCTGTTTTCTCATCCTTAAAATGGGGATAACTGGGCTGTGGGGCCTAAAGCCCGAAATTCAAACCCCTACTAATACAGAAAAGTGGGGGGGATAACACTCCTTCCCAGAGATGATATGAGAGATAAAATGCAAATATAAATGGTTAGTAGAGTTTCTGGGAATGGTTGGGGGTAGTGAACTGCAGCCCTCACCTGGAAGATATCTGTTGACTTTGAGCTTCTCACATGATGGGAGAGGTAGATGAGAACCTTAGTGTCTGGGAAAGCCTTAGGGCCATGGGTGGTGACTGGAGTGTGAGAATTCCCAGGGAAATGAGTTGGCTCTTTGTGGCTTCTCTGCCATTTGCTCTGCTAGAAGCTGGAGAACCAGGGTTTCGCCTGACCTGCAGCCAGGTCATCCTATGGCTGTGCAGCGCTTCTCCTTGGTGGCCTGCTTAGAGCTACCCCTTCCCCGGGGCAAAGCAGGACAGCATATAGCTGGAAAACTTCCAGACTAGATGGGCTTTGGTTCCAGTACTAGCAATCAGGTTACTTAACCATTTTCCTGTTTCTGAAAGGGTCATGATGATAACCATCTGTTACACAGGTTGAATACTATACCATCTATACCATTGCTACAGGTTTAGACAGATAGAAGCTTTCACAGTGGTAATTATTGGGGTTGCTCTGGGACTGCCAGCTTCATGGGTTGGTGGTGACTAAGATTCTAGGTGTTCCAGGAGCATCTGAAAGTCCCTTGTCTGTGGGACACTTTTTTTTTTTTTGGTTGGTCGTGGGGCTTGAACCCTGGGCCTGGGCACTGTCCCTGAGCTCTTCAACTTAAGACTAGCACTCTGGATGTGAAGGCAATCTGGCTGCGACATCTGTCAACCCATTGATTGCCAGGGTAGATTCGGCTGATCTGGCTGGCTAGGCGGGTGTCCCCTTCCTCCCTCACCGCTCCATGTGCGTCCCTCCCGAAGCTGTGTGCTCGGTCGAAGAGGATGACCATCCCCGATAGAGGAGGACCGATCTTCGGTCAAGGATACGAGTAGCTGTGTTCCCCTGCTAGAACCTCCAAACAAGCTCTTAAGACTAGCACTCTGTGACTTGAGTCACAGTGCCACTTCCAGCTTTCTGGTGGTTTATTAGAGATAAGAGTCTTATCATCCCCCTGGCTGCTATTGGCTCAGGCCTGTAATCCTAGCTACTCAGGAGGCTGAGATTTGAGATCAAAGCCAGCCCTGGCAGGAAAGGCCATGAAACTCTTATCTCCAATAAATCACCAGAAAACTGGAAGCAGCGCTATGGCTCAAGTGGTAGAGGGCTAGCCTTGGGCTGAAGAGCTGAGGGACAGTGCCCAGGTCCAGAGCTCAAGCCCCATGCCTGACAAAAAAAAAAAAAAGTCTCCTGGTCTTTGGATCCTCAGATCTCAGCCTCCTGAGTAGCTAGGATTACAGGCATGGGCCACTGGCTCCCAGCTGTGGGACAGGCTTTGAGGTGAGGAATTGTACTGGAGGCTTCCAAATAGTTCTCAAAACAAAATTGAATGCAGCACACAATGGCACTTGATCAGAAACTTCCTCAGGATCAGAACCTTCTTCCCTCAGTGGAACCATGTCTGGTTCCTTATGGTTCCAGTGGGTCTGAAAATGCTCATTTGGTTTTCTGGAATTTATTTTCTGGTGTGTGTCTTAGTGTCCCCTCAGCAGTCCTCAGTGGGTGCTGGGTTTTCCTCTCTGGTTCCTAGGCAGAGCTGCTGCTGGTGATTTGTTAGTTCTCTTGTGCCCAGTGGGGTCAGGTGGGTCATTTGGACCCTTGGCCTTTTTACAGTTTATGTGGTTTCCACCCCTAGGAGAATGGCCCTGAGCACATGGGAATGTGGCAGGGGGAGGGGAGTGGTGAGAGCAGCAAGTTTGGGAGTGGGAAGTAGGAAATCTGCTATGAGACCATTTGGATTGGAGAGACCTGCTGTTGGTACTCTGGGAATGCATTTGGGGGAGGGTAGAGGAGAGAGGGTGCGGTCCTGCTGTGTGGAGCCCCTCATCTACCTTCTCCCTGAGGCCTAGAGTATGGAGGCCTATAGGATCAATGGTTGGAAGCTGGTCCATTGGAAATGCCAAGGCTGAGGGTCTGGTGAGTTGCCATTTTTATTTTTATTTTTTTTGGTGAGTTGTCTTTTTTTTTTTTAATCACAAAGAGGAAAACTGTTGTAACCACAGTCTTTCTACTAATTGTGAATCCTAAAGAGACTCAGCCCCTGCCCAGGCTCTGCCATTGGAGATTCTAGGGAGAAGGGAAGCTCAGGGGCCTGTGGCTGTGGAGGACACATAAGTCTAAGAGCTTCTGCTCAGCTGCTCAGGAGATTCAGAGTCCTCTTTAGCTAAGGTGGGGAGGGTCTCTGAGGGACCCTTTTCAACCCTGAGCCTTGGTGGGATGCATGACTCCAGCCTTTTCTCCTCTGCTTTCCAGGTGTGAGCTGCTCTTCAGGAAGCAGTCAAGACCTGTCAGGTCCCTAGCTCCGGCTCGAACTCCTAATCTAATCTGGGCCTGGGGTGTACGGAAGCCTGTGGGGCTGCTGGGTGTGGCTGGGCAGCAGTCATTTGGTGGAAAATTTCTCTTGGTTATGAGGCCATTTTTATTTGGGGTTGTGTGAGCAACAGCATCTAGGAGCCAGAGGAGTGGTAGGAAGTGTGACTCCTTCTTAATGGTATGGCAGCTTCCCCTCCCCTCTGCATCTGCACTGGCCGAGTGGGAACCAGGTCACTGGGGGCCTGTGGTCAGCTCCATCTCTGCCCTGCTTCCCTCTCCCTGTGGGCAGTTGGGGACAAGATGCAACTCAGCAGA